CGCTTTTTCTGGAAAAAGCGCTCTGATAGGCCCCCCTATAAGAGCGCTTTTCCAAAAGCGCTTTTGTATGCTGCGTTTTTTTTTAATTTTTTATGCTTTTTTACTGGTCTTTGGCAGCGCTTTTACTAAGAAGCGCTTTAGTAGGTGGACCTTTAAGAGCGCTTTTTAAAAGCGCTGTCGTTTCTAAATGAGGTATTTTTATGTGCAGCCTATAATTTAATCCTCCCAGTCGACCTGTAATGTTTTCGACCTGTAATATTTTCGACCTGTAATATATTTTTGACCTGTAATATATTTTCGACGCTATTATTTCAGCCATCAGTAAGACAATATATATACTAATATAATACCATTATAATATCCAAAATTATATATATACATCATTACATCAATAATATTATAGTTCAAATCGACACAAATCCTACATGAAAAATTGCTTAATATAATATTGACACAAATCTTCTTTAATTTCTTCCAACTTAAGCTTCGGGTACCCAGCAGCACGGAATTCGTCAAGGTACTACAAAACAAAAACATAATATAAATGATATATTTAGTTAAATGTAATAAATTATATGAAATTATCTTAAGTTATAAATTCATACCGTGAGCGGAATCTCTAATTGATTCGCCTGAAGGATTTCTTTCATGAACCTCAAAACAAAGTATCCGCAATCATGACTGTTTCGCTGTTGCGGACACTACATAATAAAACAAATAAGATTCTATAGTTGTCTTGTTTTACCAAGTAGCATAAATATTATAAGCAAAATTGTGAAAAGTAATGTACCTGCACTTGGATCCAAGTGATGTTGTTTGATTTAGTCCGGGATACCTGTGCGTCCCGTTGACTACGGAACACTTGTATTGATCTAATTATTAAATATATAAAAGCATATGTTTAGATCAATCCCACAAATAAGAAAATATATAAATATACACGAATATATATTTAGAACGATCCCACTTACAAATCAACGATTTCCTTCATAGCCGGATAATTGGTCCATTCACCATTTACCGAATTCAGATAATACACGACTTCTCTTATCGGGTTGATAGCAAGCAGCAACCAGTGTGCTCTATAAATTAAAACAATAGGTTATATGAAAATTTTGCTATACACAAAAGAAACAGAGATTAGATGAACCAAGAATGAGAAACTAACCCTACTGGTCGGGTATTATACGCCCAAAGATGCAGACTTTCTGTATTGCCGGTGGACATGAATCTATCTACTAAGCGCTGTCTAACTGATTCCGGTTCCGAAGCAATTGTCATTCCGCTGCAATGGGCGGAAGACACGAAACGGAATCTGTTAGACAATGCAGTCCCGCGCAACACTCTGTCATACAACAACCTTAAATAAAAACATAATAAACATTAGATTATTTTCATTGAAATGTGTAAATAAATTATATTGTGGGACTAATTAAATAATATATCGGATGAGTGAATATTACCGGATGTATGAGTGCATATTACTGACGCCTAGTTGATCATGCCTAAAAATCTCTTCCAAGTCATCAATTGTAATATGTGACGGGAATTCAATACCGAAGACACTTTCATCCATGTTGATTTCACGTAAACCACCATCCTTCAAATCGGACATATCAACCATTGTTGCGAGTGTCGAACGGTATCGAGGCACAAAAGCACCGCCTTTTTTTGCCGCTTGCTTCGGAGGACCAGTGGGTGGTACGCTACGAACCTGCTGCGTCACTTGTTGTGACTCCCGAGCGGATGCCTAAAAATCATATAAGTTAGGTAAAATATAAAATCATGCAGATTTAGATTCAGACTATATATTAACACTTTAAATGTACCTCTTTTAGTGATGCAATAGACTCCTCCTCCTGTAAAATCCCTTTACCCTTAATTGCGGGTTTTATAGGAGCAGTCTAAAATTAAAATGTAAAAAATAATTAATAAACGGTTTAGAATTGACATTCGAAAACTAAATGATTCATAATCGTTTTCAGTATACCTCATCACTAATGGTAATGAGCTCCGAGGGCCATGCAACAAATGATCCTATTGCATCTCGCAGCAATGTCGTCCCTGAGACCATGTCAGGTACCGGTAGAATCGCATCACGATCTAATACAACATCCACCGATACTTTCAGGTGTCCATCCGGGAGCGGTCTGTGGTGAAGTAAATCTCCCGAAGTGTTGTGCACTTTTCCCTTGCCAACTAGTCGATAATTCGGTGACGATAAGTATAGTTGGCAAGATGAAATGCCCTAAACAAATAGAAAATATAAAGTCATTATCATTAATAAAATAGAACAGTTTGTAAGGAAAAAAACTTATAATTACCTCGGGAAATTTCTTTTGATAGTTGATACTAGCCTTATCACTAGTTTCTCTCACCGATGAAGTGTTGCAATTTTCTCTCATATACATATCTTTATCTCTTTGCAATTCAGAGACCTGTGCTTGCAATTCCTGCAACTTTTGCAACACTTCTTCATTGGTAAGATTTGATCTTCTCCTAGAACTCTTATAAAAAGAGGTTGGAGTCACACCATGACCCTTACCCCTCACCCGACCGGGATACTCGGGAGCATCTAGTACTCTACTAAGTACGCTCTCCTCACCGGTGGATGCCGATTGCGACAAGGTCTCCTGTAATTCATTTACATTTAAATAATTATTAGTGGAGATAAAAAATCATTTATATATTAAAAAACATTTGATTTAATTAAAGACACAGTATTATACTTACACATTCAGTATAAACTCTCTGAACATCGGGATCGACAGCTTGATTCTTGCCCACACGAGCTTCCTTCCACAACACATGTACAGGAAGTGAAGCTTCCTCACTTTTAGTCTCCTCTAACTATGCATTGACACAAACGATAAAATCGTCAATTAAAACATGCACATGTAGACAATTAATTAAAACGCATTTCTATTTACTTACAATTTTATCCTCTAAGCGTGCATATCCCAAACGCCCTTTTTTGTATGGATACGCGGGTTTGGATGCTCTCTCACTATTCGTGGCACTCTTTTTCTGAAAAGCTTCATCTCTTTGCTTTACAAACTCAGCCCAATCTGCTTCATCAATGAAGGTCGCATACTTTGTTGGCCGTCCCGGTGCCTCTTCAAGAAATTTTCCATCTTTATCCTTAAGATAGGTGTTTTTCAAAAAACTTTTCCACCCTCTATATCTTTTGCCGGCCAAACTAAGTATGTAGCTTTTACGTTCATCTGGTATCTCAAAAGTCCTCTGCAAAAAAACGTACGCATAGTGTGTTAGTATAAGTAATTTAAACAATTTATCGTCAAGATAATAACAACAATTAACCATATATGATATATACCTGAAGCTCTTCCCAAATCGCTTGTTTTTTCTCCTCCAATTCTAAATTTTTCGTTTTCGATTTCCAGGTAGCTACGGAGACCGGAATATGCATACGGACAAGTGTACCAATATAACTTGTCAACTTTGCAGAATTAGGACCAATTGGTTGTTTATCAGAATTCCATTCCAATCGGTATACTAATCCTTGGTCTCTATGTCGAATGATTCCCTTCATAATAGTGATGCCTCGTGCAACCTCTTTTGCTTCAGTATCAGGTGGAGCATTTGTATCCGAAGCAACTCTTTCTTGTGAGTTTTCTTGTGAGTTTTCAGGTGGGTTTTCAGGTGGAGCATCTCTATCTGGAGCCATTGAACCTGTATCAAACAAACTAAAGCACATTAGTACACTATTAACACTAACTTTATCACTAATTACTATCGGATACTAGTGATTCAGTCTTGGATACAGGTAATAACAATTATATTCAAACAATAATGAAGTCGGATTTCAAACAATTATATTCAGTCCTTATCTTACAAGTTAGCTTTGTCAAGTCTTAGTTAGGTTCAAATCAAATTTTAAAAGCAATGTATTGTTAATTGTTAAATGACGCTCTATAGTTTTCAATTCATCTTGATTTTCTTTGCACCTAGACATGACTTTTTTAATTTATGATTACAGCATATGCAAGATGAAGATAACGGCAGACCATACAGGAAGTTCAAGCCTTAAAGTATGAAAGATGTTTTGTAATAATCAGGGGTTATGAAAGTTAGACCTTAATGAGGCTACAACATGTGTTTTTTCTTAACTGTCCAATGGCCGTTTGTTTATGTAGTTTGGTTCTATCAAACCATTCCTTGTTTGGCTGTCTTCATTGATATTGCTGTGATGTTAAATTGCTACTGTTGTTCAAAATCAATAATATATTTGGAAAACAAAGCATGAGTCTGAGAAAATATTAGATTGACAACTATAAGATTGTATTTGCTAGGTTAAAAGCTAATGGTGTTACTCAAACTCTATTATATTCCTTGCAGTAACTTTCATTAGATGTTTTTGTTGTATTACTCATATTAGCAATGAAATGCTTTGACTTTTATTCTGTAAAAAACAAGAAAATGTTACAAGAAGTCGTGTACATGGAAACAATTGTAACCATGAAATGAATGATAAATCAAAGAGTTTCATTAAAATGTTAGGACAATGTTAGTAGGTCTAAAGATGGATTCCAAGTGGGGATGAGAAGCAAACCTGCTGTGTTAGAGGATAATGCATAAACAGATGTTCTTGGCAAAGAGGAATAGTTGCAGAATATGGGCGAATGTTTTGTTATCATCATCATCATTCCGTATTAATAAAAAACTTTTTAAAAGTTGTATGCCAAAGTTGTCTTTCTAGCCATAAAGCAATGCATGAAACCAAAAGTTCTAACTAGTTGTCAATAGAGGTTCATGTGCATGTTTGGGTAAGTCATGTTTTGATACTAATTCAGATAACATCCTTTGCTTCCTCTAAAGGCTACTTGTAAAACATATTTTATCTTGCTTCTTTGCATGTCCTATTCACCTTTTATAAATATATATATATATGAAGAATGAATAACTAGAGTACCCATCTATCTTCAATCACCTAACTATTAAAGAAAGACATTTCAAGTCATTTTTTAAGGTTTCAAGAAATGGAAAATGGGCTAAACCAAAGAAGGTAACTATTGATATGTATTCTTTTATTGATTTTCTTATAATGTAAAAACATTAGAATCTTTTAGTCCCTACTAATAACATATTACTTATATCATTTTCTAGAGTGTCATTTTCTAGTCCACAATCCCATAAAGAAACAAGAGATGATGAGTTTGTAACTGCAGTAGCAGCTGCAACATTTTCCATTTACTCATTAGAAGAAGCAGGGATACTTGATTTGAAGAAAATAAGAGATAGTCCCAAGTTTTCAAAGAACCAATCTATAGCAAGGCAACCAAGTTATGGTAAATAGACATTTACTTATATCATATATCTTTCCTAAAAATATTATAATTTTCTATTAAATTACATATAACAACATCACCTTAGGTGAAACTTCAAAGGAAAGAGCATTTAGAGAAGAAAGCAGGACTAGAGAAGGTGCTTTACCTCTAAGAAGTTCAAGTGGTATATCCTCAATTGGAGGGTATCAAAAGCAAAAAGGGATTATAATACATAACAAAAATGATAAGGCAAAAGCATAAGCTTGGGAAAAGGCTAAGCTACAAAGGATTCAAAAGAGGTAATAGTTGTTAAAGTGATAATATAGAGTCAACAAATATAGATTTAGTATATTCTTGACAATGCAAGAAAATTCAGGTATGAGAAGATGAAGCTCCAAATCCTTTCTTGGGAAGGGGAGAAAAGAATCCAAGCCAAAATCCAAATGGAAAGGAAAAAGGTTAGCATTGAATTTGTTGGATTTCTACTTTTAAATTTTATGAACTCATGATATAATTTTCATGTAATTATTATAGAATGAAATGGATCATCAAAGAGAAAATGTAATAGAACATTACAAGAGAAAGATAGCAAGGTTAGATATGATTGGACAAAGAGCAATCAAAGAGTTGGAAGATCAAAGAAGAAAACAAGAGTTGAAAGTCAAAGAAAAAGCTAACAAAATTAAAAAAACTGGCAGGGTGCCTGTCACATGTTTCTGTTTCAAGTCTTTATAGGATCAAGTCATGGAATTCAGAACAAGAATCACCAAAGTTGAAAAAGATTGTGAAGTTAAATTTAAAGAATGTCTTCCTCAATTTGGCTTTAGCAATTTAATGATGATATACTTGAGAAAGATTATCTCTCAAATTGTTCACATAGTATTGCACTAGTTCAAATTTCATATTTAAAGTCAAGTCAAATTGTTATGGTTGTATGAAATGGATTACGAGTTATTCAATAAATTGGACTTATAATATTATGAACTAATTCACATTAGTGTAGTGGAAGAATAAAATTTATGGTATTTAACAGGACCGGTTTAAGGTTCAACAGGATCGGTTTGTAATGTTGTTAACATTGGAGAATTTATGGTATTTAAAGTTAATTAAAATGTTAATTATGAAATTCTACAATTTATAGACGATACTATCTTTGTAGGTAAGGGATCATGGAAAAATTTATGGAGCATCATTCTGTGAAAACCACATGTAATCTATATGTAATTTATCTGTCCTGTTAAGCACTTAAGCTGAAATATAAACTTAAACTAATGAGATAAAAATCTCAGTAAGACTTATATGCAAAATATACAAGCCTATTAAAACATTTTCTTAGCTATAACTTTTTTAGTAGTAATGTTATAATTTCCTTTGTGTGATTAATTCTTTTGTCTACAGTGTAGATAGGATTAGAAATTTATAATCCCACTTGAAGTATCTCCAAGCATAACTCACACCCTCTTAGTACAGTCCATAAAGTTTGAAAATATTGCTTCTCTTCTTTGCACAAATCTCACAGTTGATAGGTGCATCTTTTATTCAGTTTCGATAACGTAACACTACTATCCGACTCCTTTTATCTGTTCTACAATCTATTACAATACAAATACCAAATTCCAACATCGTTCTTCCCAGACTTTTTTTACCGGATCCGTACTAAGTGTTGCCTTTGACATTTTTACTATCGATGACTGACAATATATGAATGTCTATTAACGATTAATCACACACAAATCATCTAAAAGAGGGAAAAACACAAATGAACACCAACAACTTAAGTACTTGTGAATTTTAAGCTAGTATACACCTAAAATTAGGACCCGTAAATCCAACTTCATTTTCCTAACCCTCTAACATACCCTTAATTAGGAACAATCATGTAGAACATTTCACAAACAGTTAATATGCAATATCTAAAACTAAGAAAAATGAGTAAGAATTCTTACCTCAAACCAAAGAAATGGAAAAAGTGAAATGAACTTTTAGATCTTTCCTCTAACAAGTAACAGCCAACCTTCAAAATCCCTTGGGTTTCGTTCTTGCTAACTGTTGAAGGGTTTTGTAATAACAAGAAACTTTGAGAACGAAACCCTAATTAATGTAATAAAGTAAAGTAGTTAGAGTGGGTGATGATGAATCAATGTTGAGATGAAATTGAATGGGAAAGAAACAACATCTAAATGTAAATTACAGTTTGATGGGTTTTTTGGATGCAAATTACACCTGAATCAAAATTACAGTAGAATCAAACACTCTAGTCACGATGTACACCAAAAACAACAATTACAGAAGCACAGGCTTTAATGATAGGAACACTTACTTGGATTGAAAATTTGAATTAGTCGTGGGCCGAAGATTCGAAGGTGATGGTGCTAGGCGTTTGGAGTTACAACGGAGGAGGCTGCTGGTGTTGGTGATTGTGTCGTTGATGCGAGGCGGGGGGTAATGGTGAGAGGACGATGAAGGGATGAACAGAGGATGGGAAGGGTCGACGAAGGGATGAACAGTGGATGGGAAGGGTCGACGAAGGTTCAAAGGTTGTTATGAAAGTGAGGACGACGAAGGATGAAGAGAGCTTGAATAGGAGCAGACGAATGGAGAAGAAGATGAACAACTGGGTTTCGTTTTCTGTAAATTTAGGGGTTTAGAAATTATTTAACTAACCTATGCCAGCGCTTTTAAACAAGCGCTTTCGTATCCCCCCCTATGCCAGCGCTTTTTAAAAAGCGCCTTCATATCCCCCACCTATGCCAGCGCTTTTATAAAAGCGCTTTCGTATCCCCCACCTATGCCAGCGCTTGTTAAAAAGCGACTTCATATCCCCCACCTATGCCAGCGCTTTTAAAAAAGCGCTTTCGTATCCCCCACCTATGCCAGCGCTTTTAAAAAAGCGCCTTCGTAGGTTTCCCTTTTTTTTAATTTTGTTTTTTGTGAAGGCTATGACAGCGCTTTTTCAATAAGCGCTTTCGTATCCCCCACCTATGCCAGCGCTTTTAAAAAAGCGCCTTCGTAGGTTTCCCTTTTTTTTAATTTTGTTTTTTGTGAAGGCTATGGCAGCGCTTTTTCAATAAGCGCTTTAGTAGAGGCGCTGGCAAAAGCAGTTTTTGGCGTAGTGGTTTTGGCTCAGTGGGCTTTTCTTTTTTGAGAGATAATGAATGTCTATGAGATAAGGAACCATCACTGTCTTTTAGTTCCAAAGGAATGTTTTTGATGTCATTTGTTGTATTACGAACTGAGAGTTTGCGACTTCAATGCGCATCTTTTTTGATTAACTGAGAAACTACCCTGCCCCTGGTTTAGATCAAAGGTTTCAATTTGTGTTTAAAACAAAAAACTCCTACTTATTTGGCTCGAAGGGGTTGACTAGGGATTATCTTCCTTATAACTCCAGTGTTTAGGATTTGAAAGAAACGCTTGTACATCGTCAGCAAGGTCTGTTCAAAAGCATACTGTATGAGATTATGGCATTGTTTCGTCATTCTCCCTCTAAAGGCTTGTAACTTTTAGCAAGAGTTAAATGTCATAAAGAAAGTAGAAAGCATAGTTCAAGTGTAATGAAAATGAGTGGATCAAATCAAGACAAACATATGCAATGCATTAATGAAACAAAGTTTGACATTAATAGATAATTGTTTGAATAACAAAGAGATTACAACTTGAAAATTCAAATGAAACAAAGACATTCTCAATGATTTGGCATAGGAGCAATGATCACGTTTGGAGTCTCCGGAGGGTCAAACTCGACCTCCTTGGCATCAATCATGTCTTGGACCTTGTTCTTCAGAGCCCAACAGTTGTTTGTGTCACGTCCTGGACTGTCAGAGTGGTATGCACACCTTTCATTGGGATGATAGGTAGGAGCAGAAGTATTTGGGTTCCGGAGGGGAGCCTTCAATGTAATCAACTCTGCCTGCAACATTGTTGTAGAGCTTGACCCAGTGACATGTTGATCTTGGTGAATTTTCTTTTAGGTGTGACCTCCTTACGCTGATGCCCCTGTCTTTGTTGAGCAGGCGTAGGATTAGAGATCAAGATTTCCCCTACGTGTTGGTCATGACGACTATTTTGACCATACACAGCAATGGACTCTTTCTTCCCATTGTAGGGATTTTTCTGAGTGTCAGAAGGTGTAGCTTCTTGAATCTTCCCACTTTTGATGCCAACTTCGACCCTTTCGCCGGTCAGTATTAGCTCGGTGAACCCGGCTGAAGAGCTTCCAATTAAGTGATTGAAGAAAGGACTTGTCAAAGTTCCCATGAAGATGTCAATCAGCTCCCTGTCAGTTAAAGGAGGTTGTACCCTACCAGCCAGATCTCTCCATTTTTGAGCGTATCCTTTGAAGCTCTCATCGGAACCCATGGTCATGTTCTGCAATTGTACACGAGTTGGTGCAAGATCAGCATTGTACTGATACTGCTTATAAAAAGAAACAACTAAATCCTCCCAGGTGTGGATGTGAGAACTCTCCAATTGATAGAACCACTCGAGTTGAGTCCCTACCAAGATTTCTTGGAATAAATGGATCCAAAGCTTTGGATCAGTTGTGTATGGTTGAATCTTGCGGACATAAGACTTTAAGTGCATCTTAGGGAAAGAGACTCCATCGTACAGGGAAAAGGTAGGGACTTTGAACTTTGGCGGGATGACCAACCCAGAAACTAAACCCATGTCTCCTAAATCCAAGCCAAGTATTTGTTGAATCTCCATAGCACTGAGGCGATCCTCCAACTGTTTGTACTTGTCATCAGCGGGAGGATATTGTTCCTCGGAGTAGTCAGCTTCAACTTCATCAATCTCTAAATTGTGGTCTTCTTCAAGACTATCCCCCATGTTGGATGGAGTTGAAAGGTCTAGGGTTTTAGGTCTTCTTCTCAAGTTCAGGATGCTCGCTGCCTTCTTGGACTTCTTCTTCTTGTTTTTGAGAAGGAGAGCTTTCAGATCCTCTTGCCCTTTACCCATAGCCAGAAACATTTGTTGGAATTGAGCGTTTTGAGCTTGGAGATCTTTCACCGTTTATTCCATATCCATCTTACTGAAATAAACAGCAGGAAGATAAGGAGACCTGTAAGGGAGAAACCTGTCATGATGTGATGCATGATATGTGGATGCATGTTTTCAAGGATCTCTCGGGGTAAACACAAGAAAAATGTTAGAGATTGAACTTTGATCAACATCTTTGATTGGAGAACCTTGTAATGGTAGATGTCTTTCCACGAGAATCAAGCTCACCATGTCAAGTGGGTCATAGCCCCTGATTCAAGTTGTTGCACTTGATCTTTGACGGCGTTTGTTTAGAGGAAAATGAAACCTCTTACCCTTTGATAGACGTCTGGTTCAACGTGACCCTGCATCAAAAGACCCTCGAGATTCTTGAAATGGTTATCGTAAATGTTATGGTATGATGTTATGATGTTATGTACATGTATGAAAAAGTAAGCAAGTGTATATACAGGTAATCATATTCACACAAAGCAAACAAGTCCTTAGGTTTAGGCTTGCATGGGGTTTGTAGGTAAGTACCCTCTTGAAGTTAGTTGGCTCATCCTGTCCTAAAATAGAAACCGGGTTCTAAGGAGCTCAATATCACTGGATTATTTTCTATGTTCATTGTTTTGGTTTAGCCACTTAACTGGCGACCAAAATATTCCAAGAAAACAATCCTCAATGAGTGTAGTATCGAGTATCTACCAACTTCGGACTGCACCAAAGTCGGTCATCTCACTACCCCTAAAAAG